CCTAGGTGCCTGGGTTTATTTCTGGGCTTTCTATCTCGTCGCATTGGTCTATATTTCTGTTTTTGTGCCAGTACCATACTGTCTTGATGACTGTGGCTTTGTAGTATATCTGAAGTCGGGAAGCTTGATTCCTCCAGCTCCGTTCTTCTTTCTCAAGACTGCTTTAGCTATTTAGGGTCTTCTGTGTTTCCCTATGAATTGTGAAATTTTTTGTTCTAGTTCTGTGAAAAATGACATTGGTAATTTGACAGGGATCATATTGAATTTGTAGAATAGTCATTTTCACAATATTGATTCTTCCTACCCAGAAACATGGAATATCTCTCCATCTGTTTATGTCATCTTTGATTTCTTCCATCAGTGTCTTATAATTTTCTATGTACAGTTCTTTTGTCTCCTTAGGTAAGTTTATTCCTAGAAATCGAATTATTTTTGTTGCAATGGTGAATGAGATTGATTACTTAATTTCTCTTTCTGATTTTTCATTGTTAGTATATAGAAATGCCAGTGATTTCTGTGAATTGCTTTTGTATCCTGCAACTGTGCCAAATTCGCTGGTTAGCTCTAGTAATTTTCTGATACTATCTTCAGGGTTTTCTCTGTACAGTATCATGTCATCTGCAAACAGTAAGAGCTTTACATCTTCTTTTCCAATCTGGATTCCTTTTATTTCTTTTTCTTCTCTGATTGCTGTAGCTAAGACTTCCAAAACTATGTTGAATAATAGTGGTGAAATTGGACACTTTTGTCTTTTTCCCGATCTTAGGGGGAATGCTTTCAGTTTTTCACCATTGAGAATAATGTTTGCTGTAGGCTTATCACATATGGCCTTTACTACGTTGAAGTAAGTTCTTTCTATGCCCATTTTTTGAAGAGTTTTAATCACAAATGGGTGCTGAACTTTATCAAAGGCTTCTTCTGCATCTATTGAGATTATCATATGAATTTTATCTTTCAATTTGTTAATATGATGTATCACATTGATTTATTTGTGTATATTGAAGAATCCTTGCATTCCTGGAATAAACCCAACCTGATCAGGCTGTACGAGCTTTTTGATGTGTTGCTGAATTGTTTGCTACAAGTTTGTTGAGGATTTTTGCCTCTATATTCATCAGTGATTTTGGCCTGTAGTTTTCTTTGTGTGTTGTCTTTGTCTGGTTTTGGTATCAGGGTTGTGGTGGCCTTGTAAAATGAGTTTGGAAGTGTCCCTTCCTCTGCAATTTTTTGAAACAGTTTTAGAAAGATAGGCATTAGCTCTTCTCTAAATGTTTGACAGAATTCTCCTGTGAAGCCATCTGGTCCTGGGCTTTTGTTTTGGGGGAGATTTTTTATCACGGCTTCAATTTCAGTGCTTTTAGTTGGGTTGTTCATAATTTCTATTTCTTCCTGGTTCAGTCTTGAAAGATTGAACTTTTCTAAGAATTTGTCCATTTCTTCCATGTTATCCAGTTTATTGCCATATGGTTGTTCATAATAGCCTCTTATAATCCTTTGTATTTCTGCATTGTCTTTTGTAACCTCTCCTTTTTCATTTTTAATTTTGCTGATTTGATTCTTCTCTCTTTTTTTCTTGGTAAGTCTGGCTAAAGGTTTGTCACTTTTGTTTATCTTCTCAAAGAACTAGCTTTTAGTTTTATCTTTACTATTGTTTCCTTCATTTCTTTTTCATGTATTTCTGCTTGTATCTTTATGATTTCTGTCCTTCTACTAATTTGGAGGGGGTTTGTTCTTCTTTTTCCAGTTGTTTTAGGTGTAAAGTTATGTTGTCTATTCGATGTTTTTCTTGTTTCTTGAGGTAGGATTGTATTGCTATAAACTTCCCTCTTAGAACTGCTTTTGCTGCATCCCATAGGTTTTGAGTTGTTGTTTTCATTGTCATTTGTTTCTAGAAATTTTTTGATCTCCCTTTTGATTTCTTCAGTAACCTGTTGGTTATTTAGAAACATGTTGTTTAATCTCTATGTGTTTGTGTTTCTTACAGTTTTTTTTTTTTTTGTAATTGATATCTATTCTCATAGCCTTGTGGTTGGGGAAGATGCTTAATATGATTTCAATTTTCTTAAATTTACTGAGGTTGGATTTGTGACCCTAAGATGTGGTCTATCCTGGAGAATGTTTCATGTGCACTTGAGAAGAAGGTGTATTCTTCTGCATTTGTATGGAATGTCTTGAAGCTATCAATGAGACCCATTGCATCTAATGTATCATTTAAGACTTGTGTTTCCTTATTAGTTTTATGTTTTGATGATCTGTCCATTGGTGAGAGTGGAGTGTTAAAGTCTCCTACTCTTCTTGTGTTACTGTCCGTTTCTCCTTTTATGTCTGTTAGTGTTTGTCTTATGTATTGAGGTGCTCCTACGTTGAGTACATAGTTATTTACAATTGTTATGTGGACTGATACCTTGATCATTATGTAGTGTCCTTCCTTATCTCTTGTAATCTTCTTTACTTTAAGGTCTATTTTTCCTGATATGAGGATTGCTATTCCAGCTTTCTTTAGTTTCCCATTTGCATGAAATATATTTTTCCATCCTCTCACTTTCTAGACTGACCCTTTTTTAAATCTCAGGTTTCGTCTGTGCTCATATATAATCATATTTTTCATATTTATTGAACACTTCCTGTGTCCCAAGCACTGTTCCAGGCACAGAGAAACAGCAGCACACAGACAAAGCCCTGCCTTCATGGAGCTTCCATGCTAATTGAGGGAACCAGGACAAACCAGTAAGTCGATGCAGAGTGTCTTAGAGGGAGATAAGTGCCAAGAAGGAAGTCATCCAGGAGAGGGGAAGGAGCAGGTGGCCTGAAGGAACCTGGCAATTCTGGATGGAAGGCCTCCCTGAGAAGGTCTCATGTGAGGGATGAGTAGCAGTGCAGGGCCAGCCATGCACACGGGAAGAGCGGTCCAGGCAGAAATGAGTGAGTGAAAGTTGCTCAGTTGTGTCCAGCTCTTTGAGACCCCATGGACTGTACAGTCCATGGAATTCTCCAGGCCAGAATACTGGATTGGGTAGATATTCCCTTCTCCAGAGGATCTTCCCAACCCAGGAATCAAACCCAGGTCTCCCGCATTGCAGGCGGATTGCAATGGGACCAGCCAACACAAAGACAGAGGCAAGGGTGTGGTGGGGGCGTCAGTGAGATGGTCTCAGAGACCATGAGGACCGACCGTGCGGAGACTGTCTCCTCTCCCGAGTCCTGGATATGCTGCCTGAGTCATCCAGACCCTAGGCTCCTGGAAGAGGAGACAGGCCGAGGAGGACGGACACTCAGCTCAGGTCTCCATGCCCTATCACCTCTGCCCCACTGCTGCCCAGTCCCTTATACACTTCCTCCCGTGGGCTCTTCCCTTTGGGCTACAAGCTTTACCGTCTCCTCAATCCTAAAGCAAAAATTCTAAAAAGTCAAAACAAGAAATTATCAAAGACTGGTTGATTCTGAAATTTTAATTTATTTGTTTGGAAAAAATAACAAAACTTAAAATATTTGGCAGGACGTCCTGGCAGTGTAGCAGCAATGTGCCATGCCCAGGACTTCTAAGGGAACATCAGATGTTCTAAGGGGTCATAAGGCAGAGAGGTTCGGCAGTGTGCATTAAGAACCTGTAAAATGTCTGTTTTCAGGGGGGAAAAATAACAAAGATTTATACCGTAGCATTTTTGTCGCTGGGAAAACTGGAATCAATAGAATCCCCCAACTGAAATCGGCTCAATAAATAATGGCATGTACACAAGATGTAAACCACCGTGGCCACAGTAAGCACTGTTTTCCAAGAATGACACAGCTGGAGGGAGCGTCTCCCAGAGGCGGGGCACATAAGGACACAGGGACATACAGTCACTGCACACGTGTGCGTGGCCTGGCAGCCAGGAACAGCTGGCTTCACCTTTTTTAAAGGGCTGAGAGAAAAATCAAAGGAGAGGACTATTTCACATAGAAGTCCATGAAATTCAAATATTAGTGTTCATGAATTTTTGCCACCACGTATCCACATCCATTTGTTTCCATGTTGTCTGTGGCTGCTTTCAAGCAGCGACAACAGAGCTGAGAAGCTGCAGCCAGAGTGGCCAGGAAGGCTGGGGTCTGTAGACAGCTCCTCACTGAGGGTTCTTCCAGCCCCTGACCCACACAGACACACGGAGAAGGTTCACAGCTCCTTACAGAGGGGTCTGCCAGCCCCCGACCCGTATAACCACCTGGAGAACGTCTTCAAGGCCATGCACACAGAGCTTTGCAATATGACGCACTGCGGGGTGACAGGTCAACCAGTGGTTTTCATAGCCTTTTGACTTTTCTGTATCTCCATTCTTTCCCCATAATAAGCATGTTCTGCTTTTATTTTTATAATGTGAAAGCTTCCATCAAACTGCACACTCACAGAAACCTTTCCTATACCCTCCCTAGGAGACTTCTCCCGCAAACAGCGGTCACTTGGCCATTCCGGGGCAGTCTCCTCAGGAACCAAGGGCAAACAGGCCCCCAGGCCACATGCAGGGGTGGGCACAGCAGGCCCTCCTGCACCCACATCCTCTGTGACAGGTAGGCAGGGGCCAGGTACACCCTGGGCTCCAGCCACTTCAAGCTCCGGCCCCCTGAGGGTCCCTCATGTTGTGAGCTTCAGCTGTCCTTAGGACAGTGGTCAGGAGGCCCGGGCCCACCTCTCCCCACCAGGGCACAGAGGGGTCAACTTGGCCACCTGTGTGTTCAGACCGTCCCCTCTTCAGTGAGGGGTCAGCAGCTCAGGGCAGTGGCCCGTCTGAGGGGCAGGTAGCGTGAAAGGTCCCAGCAGTGGGGGCAGGCGTTTAGGGAGGTGATCCTGGGAGGAAGCAGGTGCCCTCAGAGGACAGAGATGAGGAGCCAGACCCTCGCGTGGGATCCACCTAGAGGGGAGGCTCAGAGAGTTGGTCAGCTCGTCAGAGGCAGATGGGCCTCGTGGTCCAGGCCCTGCCACAGTGGGAGAGAGCCTGGTGTCTCAGTGCTTTCTCTGTGTCCCCCAGGTGTCTTCCTGCCCCCGTCCCCGGCAGCAGCAAACGAACCTGTCCTGGAAGAAGTGGGGATTGTGGCTCTGGCACCCCTGGCCGACGTGCTAAACAGCCCGCAGCCCAGCCCCGTGGCAGGCCCCATCGTGAGCCCCCTGGCAGGCCCTCTCAACACGCTGCCCAGCCCGGGGCCCATCTCCCAGAGCAGCCCACTCACCAGCCTCCTGAGCAGCCACCTGGCCAGCCCCCTGGTAGTGCCCCAAGTGGGCACACCAACCAACTCCCTGGGCCTGCTCTCCACCGGCTCCCTGACACCCAGCAGCCCCTTGGCGGGCTCCGTGGCAGTGCCCCCAGGGGGCACACTGGCCAGCTCCCTGGGCCTGCCCTCCACCGGCCCCCTGACTCCAGGAAGCCCCCTGGCAAGCCCCCTAGCTGTGTCCCAGAACAGCCCCCTGATGCCCCCTGTGACGGGCTCGGGGTTCCTCTCCCTGAGCAGCCCCTTGCTCACCTCCACGGCCGCCCCTCTAGGTGTCTCTCAGAACGTTCTGGCCAACCCCATGAACAATCTGGTGCTGTCGGAGGCCCCACGGGTGCGGCTGGCAGAGCCGCTCCGAGGATATCCCCCAGGACCCCACCCATCGGCTGGCGGGGGACCTACTGCCACCTCCAAAGGTAACAGATGTGGGGACGGGGGGTGGGCCCTGCCAGGCCAGTCCCTGGTCCTGCCTGGCTCTAATCTGCCTCCTCTCCTTTCTGCCCCTCCCGCACATCACTAGTCCCACTGTCCACTGAGCATCCCCAGCCAACCCAGGAGCCGGAGCCCCTCGGCATGACATTTGTGGGTGCGCCCATCCAGACCTCCACTCCTGTTGGTGCCCTGGGCACTCCGGGCCCCATGACAGCCTTCTCCTATGGCACCTCAGATGCCCAGACACAGCCTGGCGGCCCCCAGGGACAAATGGTCCCTGCCTCTGTCCCTGTCTCGACTGCCTCCAACATCGCCATCCTCACCTCTGCCCCCACCCCCCCAGTGACCACCAGCTACGCCCCCTCAAGCAAGCCGCACCCCTCTTCCCGGACGCACCACTCCCCATCCCGGCCCTCGCCCACCCCCCACTCCCCTCCACGCAACCCCTGCTCCCCACCGCGAACTTCGTCCTCCCCGGCTTCAGTCACCGACACCCGTGGTCCACGTGGCCCAGAGCAGTCTCGGAAAAGCGTCCTGGAGTTGGAGAGGAAGCTAGCCCACCGCAAGAGCAACAAGTTCCCCAACAGCTCTCGAGGTCAGCGCGAGGTTGGGGTCCCCTCCACTGCCCATGGAGACCTCCGAGGCACCCCCTGGGCTGCTGGCCACAGCCACTGACCACTCTGTCCACCCCTGTTGTCCCCAGAATCAAAACAGCTGGCCTGGGAGAGGCTGGTGGGGGAGATCGCCTTCCAGCTGGACCGCAGGATCCTGTCCAGCATCTTCCCCGAGCGTGTGAGGCTGTATGGCTTCACAGTCTCCAACATTCCGGAAAAGATCATCCAGGTGTGTCCTGCCCATCCCCACTGCCCACCACTGCAAGGATGGGGAGCTTGCTGGCTCTCCACGGGTTTCTGGGGGCCAGCCAAGCAGAGCACAGCAGAATCTGAGGGCGCCCAGGGATGCAGGAAGCACAGTGCTCAGTCCAGTGGCCAGCAGGTGTCCAGGGCGCCAGGCCACAGGGGCCTGTGTTCCAGCCCCACGGGAGGCCTTCCCAGAGGGCAAAGCAGGGAGGGCCCCCGCAGGGTCAGATGTGTGCTCCCGGCTTTCTCACTGCCACGGCCTCTGGACCTCCAAGCCCTGCTCCCAAGGGCGCATCCCCAGTCTGGCAGAGCTGAAGCCTCAGCCTTCTTCCCCGCCAGGTCTGAGTCCTCAAGGGTCACGGGTGGACACCGGGGAAGCCAGTTTCAGAGCCTCTGAGCAGCTGGCGGCCTGGTGGCCATTAAGTGAAGTGAAGTCGCTCAGTCGTGTCCGACTCTTTGCGATCCCATGAATGCGATCCCATGAATTGTAGCCTACCATGCTCCTCCATCCATGGGATTTTCCAGGCAAGAGTACTGGAGTGGGTTGCCATTTCCTTCTCCAGAGGCTCTTCCCGACCTAGGGATCGAACCCGGGTCTCCCGCATTGCGGGCAGACGCTTTACCGTCTGAGCCACCAAGGAAGCCCAATTTTAAGGCTGGGCTAATTCCAGTGCATTCCCAGCCTGCCGTCCACTGAGCCCCCGAGGGACGCAGAGGACGGTGCTTCCCAAACGCATCTGGGCGCTTCTTGCTGCCACCGTGTACTAGGCGCTGACGAATGGGAGCCTGGGGGTGGGGGCGTGGGCCGGACACCTCGGGGCCCTGCCCCCGAGAATGAGCGAAGGCTCGCCCAGTCTCGACTGGACTGGACTTGCCCAGCGGGTGGGGGCGGCGCAGTGCGCGCACAGGAGTAGGGGGCAGGAGGGCGGGGTGGGGGTGGGCGTGGCAGCCTCTGCCTCTCAGCGTTCATCCGCGGAGACTGAGCCTTCTGTGCCCCTTCCTCTCGGGCAGTCCTCCTCCGCGGATGGGCTGCGGGCCTGAGTCTGAGTGGGCAGAAATGACGTTCGGTTACAGTGGACTCATCGGTTCCCCGGGTTGCACTTACCTTCTCCGTTTGTTAAGGTGTCCTTTTAGGTTTTTAATTTTACCGTGGCCAGAATTATCTGCCTTTTCCTTTATCTGTGCTTTTCAAGTCTTGTTTAAGGCTGGAGATGCCAGCCCCGCCTCAGTCCCCTCTTCCAGTTCACGTGTATGGGCTCCAGGTCCTCCCTTCCAGCCCTGCCACAAGCCGATGTCCTAATCCGGCTGCAGAGGGAGCCTGGGCATCCTTCTTCCAGACTGTAGTAGCTCCTCTTGGCCCTCTGATCTTCAATATGAATTTCAGGGTCTGTCAAGTTCCAAGAAAATTCTAGTTCAAATGTTTAGGTTCTCATTGGTTTACAGGTTGAGTTGGGGACATTTCCCATCTTTGCCCTGTTGGAATCTCTGTGTTGCTGGTGTCAGCAAGGCCCACATTGCTAACGTCCGGTTTGACGACCCTTGACCTGTCTTGGGAGCTAAAATTCAGACTTAAATTGAAGAAAGTAGGGAAAACCACTAGACCATTCAGGTATGACCTAAATCAAATCCCTTACGATTATACAGTAAAAGTGACAAATAGATTCAAAGGATTAAATCTGATAGACAGAGTGCCTGAACAACTATGGACGGAGGTTCGTAACACTGTACAAGAGGCAGTGATCAAGACCATCCTCAAGAAAAAAAAATGCAAAAAGGCAAAATGGTTCTGAGGAGGCCTTACAAATAGCTGAGAAAAGAAGCAAAAGGCAAAGGAGAAAAGGAAAGACATACCCATCTGAATGCAGAGTTTGAGAGAATAGCAAGGAGAGATGAGAAATCCTTCTTCAGTGATCAATATAAAGAAATAGAGGAAAATAGAATGGAAAAGACAAGATCTCTCCAAGAAAATTAGAGATACCAAGGGAACATTTCATGCAAAGATGGGCTCAATAAAAAACAGAAACAGTATGGACCTAACAGAAGCAGAAGATAGTAAGAAAAGGTGGCAAGAATACACAGAAGAACTGTATCAAAAAGATCTTCATGACTCAGATAACCACAACTGTGTGATCACTCACCTGGAGCCAGACATCCTGGAGTGCAAACTCAAGTGGGCCTTAGGAAGCATCACCATGAACAAAGCTTATGGAGGTGACAGAATTCCAGCTGAGCTATTTAAAATGCTCTAAGATGATGCTGTGAAAGTACTGCACTCAATATGCCAGCAAATTTGGAAAACTCAGTAGTGGCCACAGGACTGGAACAGGTCAGTTGTCATTCCAATCCCAAAGAAAGGCAATGCCAAAGAATGCTCAAATTACCACACAATTGCAGTCATCTCACATGCTAGCAAGGTAGTGCTAAAATTCTCCAAGCCAGCTTCAACAGCTCATGAACCAAAAACTTCCAGATGTTCAAGCTGGATTTAGTAAAGGCAGAGGAACCAGAGATCAAATTGCCAACATCCATCAGATCATAGAAAAAGCAAGAGAATTCCATAAAAACATCTATTCTGCTTCATTGACTAGGCTAAAGCCTTTGACTCTGTGGATCATAACAAACTGTGGAAAATTCTTAAAGAGATGGGAATACCAGTCCACCTTACCTGCCTCCTGAGAAATCTGTATGCAGGTCAAGAAGCAACAGTTAGAACTGGACATGGAACAATGGACTGGTTCCAAATTGGGAAAGGAGTACATCAAGGCTATATACTGTCATCCTGGTTATTTAACTTATGTGCAGAATACATCATGCGAAATGCCAGGCTGGATGAAGCACAAGCTGGAATCAAGATTGCTGGGAGAAATATCAATAACCTCAGATATGCAGATGATACTACCCTTGTGGCAGAAAGCAAAGAGGAGCTAAAGAGCTTTCTGATGAAAGTGAAACAGGAGAGTGAAAAAGCTGGCTTCAATTCAGTCACTTAGTTGTGTCCAACTCTTTGGGACCCCCATGGAGTACAGCATGCCAGGCTTCCCTGTCCATCACCAACTCCTGGAGCTTGCTCAAAGCTGGCTTAAAACTCAACACTCAAAAAACATGGATCATGGCATCTGGTCCCATCAATTCATGGCAAATAGATGGGGAAACAATGGAAACAGTGACAGACTTTATTTTCTTGGGCTCCAAAGTCATGGAAGATGTTGACTGCAGCCATGAAATTAAAAGATGCTTGCTCCTTGGAAGAAAAGCTATGACCAACCTAGACAGCATATTAACAAGCAGAGACACTTTGCTGACAAATTTGCAAATAATCAAAGCTATGGTTTTTCCAGTAGTCATGTATGGATGTGAGAGTTGGACCATAAAGACGGCTGGGTGCCAAAGAATTGATGCTTTTGAACGGTGGTGTTGGAGAAGACTCTTGAGAGTCCCTTGCACTTCAAGGAGATCAAAACAGTCAATCCTAAAGGAAATCAGCCCTGAATACTCACTGGAAGGACTGATGCTGAAGCTGAAACTCCAATACTTTGGCCACCTGACTCAAAGAACAGACTCCTTGGAAAAGACCCTGATGCTGGGAAAGATTGAAGGCAGAAGGGGACGACAGGGGATGAGATGGTTGGATGGCATCCTTGACTTGATGGACATGAGTTTGAGCAAGCTCTGGGAGATGGTGATGGACAGGGATGCCTGGTGTGCTGCAGTCCATGGGGTCACAAAGAATGGGACTCAACTGAGCGACTGAACTGAACTGAACTGACCTGTCCTGGACCACAGCCACTACTCTTGCTGTGTCATGGGTGCAGGCATGGCGGCTATTCAAAAATGGGCACATGACACAGAGAAGCACAATATTTATGTCTCTGAAATGCTGCATCTGATATCTAGTTGGCAAAGATTACATTAAATTGTAAGGTAAAGTCTAGTTGCCCATGTAGATTAGACATCAGACTGTGGAAAGAGGTTTTTAGTTGTTTGTAACTGCCTATTTAAATGGAAATAAGCTCGACCTTTCAGATGCCTGGGCTGTGCAAGTCCTCCCCTTCCCCACCACTCTTCACCCTGCCTGATGTTACTGCTTATACTGGGCAACAGTCACAGCTCTAGATGCAACTCTCCAGAGAAGAGGCAAGAAGAGGAGGTAGAACAGTGTTTAAGAAAGTCAATACTTCCACCAATACTCTAGCACTCCAGCCTCCCCCTTGCTGGCCTCTGGCAGATGGAGCCAGATGGAACCCAGGTCCAGTAGACAGGCCTGTCCCAGTGTTGCAAGGTGGCTCAGGGTTGCCCCTGCCAGAGGTCAGAGGTCGCTTTAGCTGAACCCTAACATGAGCCTGGTGCTCTGCTCACACGACCACCCAGGAAGGGGCAGACAGGGAACTAACTGGAGAAGGCGATGCTTGAGCGGACTGGGTGACCCTAGCAGGTGGCATCTAGGGAACCGCGGGCAGAGGTTGAGCAGGGCCAGATGGGGGCCTTGTGGGTCAGCCTTGGCCCTGGAGCTGGATCAACAGGAAACACACGGGGGCTCTAGCAGGGCAACACCCAGCCAACTTCGTGCACTACCAACCCACTGTTTCGTGGGCCTGGGGGCAGCGGTACCAATGACAGGTATAGAATTTGCAGAACCAAGTGCACAGGAAAACAGCGCTCCTTGCTCAAAAATTAAGAACCTCAAGATTGCTTCAGGAGAACTTCAAGCTGAGGGCACCAGAAGGCAGTGGAGGGAGGGGCTGGGAGAGGGGGTGCAGGCCCAGCCTGGCAGGAATAAAGTAGGTGAAGACCGACCTCAGGCCCAGACACTGGAGCCAGCACCCGAGTAACAGCAGACTTCAGTGCTGGGACTCAGGGCCTCAGCTCTGGGCCCGGGGTTGTCAGCACATCATGAGGGCTGGAAGGGACCCCCGCAGGATGTGGGCACAGGGTGCTAAGGATGGGGTGTTGGGACAGGGGGCCTGGAGAAAAGCCTGAGAAGTAGGAGGACCAGACTCAGGAGGAGGCCTGGGAAAGACCCTGGGTGGTGTCTTCCTGGTCAGGCAACCCTGTGGGTTTTGGGAGGTCCCCTGGTGTCTTGTCACCTGCAGCCATGCCCTCCGTCCTCTGCTGCTTGTGGCCCCAGCTCAGTCCGATTCCAGGTGGTGGATGGAGCCGGTGCTGGGGCCGCTGGAATCTCTGTGCTCAGGCTCAGCCCACAGGGTTCCCCCACCCTGGACCCCTAGAGGCGCTGCAGCCAGATCCTCCAGGACACCCCCCTGCAGGGCCCGCCCTCCGACCATGATCTTGGCGGAACCACACCCCTGCAGCCTTCTTCGCCCCCACGTGCTTGCTTGCTCTTGGGCCAGAGTGGAGCCAAGGGTCCCTGACCGCTACTGTCCCCTCAGGCCTCCCTGAACCCCAGTGACCACAAGCTGGACGAGGAGCTGTGCCAGACGCTCACACAGCGCTATGTGAGCATCATGAACCGGCTACAGAGCTTGGGCTACAACGGGCGAGTGCACCCGGCACTGACGGAGCAGCTGGTGAACGCCTATGGCATCCTGCGGGAGCGGCCGGAGCTGGCCGCGTCCGAGGGCGGCTCCTACACGGTGGACTTCCTGCAGCGCGTGCTGGTGGAGACCGTGCGCCCCAGCATGCTCACCGACGCTCTGCTGCTGCTCTCCTGCCTCAGCCAGCTGGCCCACGATGATGGCAAGCCCATGTTCATCTGGTGACACCACCATTAAAGCGCCCCTCGGACGCTAGCCAGCACTCCTGGGTGGCACTACCGCCTCGGGGAGCCCTTCCGTCCTGTCTGCCCTGAGGGCTCCTGCCCCTTGGGGCCCCCAGAGAGAGCCCCAAGACCGAAGTTCGGCAGCTGTCTTGCTGAGGGGGTGTTCCAGAGGCCCCACATCTCCCCTCACTTGGCCTGTGGCCGAGAATGGCCAGAGCAGGAAGTGAGAAGGAGCTGAGCTGGCAGGGGGTGTGCGGGTGTGCCTGCAGCCCTGGCCACCTGCTGGCAGCCAGCTGAGGCAGAGTGGGTTCCGTAGGAGGCTGTGGGCACAGGAGCGCCTCCCTCTGCACTAGGCAGGGACAAGGAGGATGGGGACATGTTTTCTGGACCCTCATCAAGGGCAGGGGGACATTAAATGGACGGGAGCCAGGAGAAAGAGGCTCACTCACACCTGGGCACTGGGCAGCCCAGGGAGGTGGGGGCTCTGCAAGGCCAAAGGCTCCCGCAGGAAGGGACTAGACTGGGAGAGTCAGAGCTGGGAGGGCAGCTCCCCACTACTGAAGGGGTGTGGCTGAGAAGCACAGTCCACCAGCAGAGCAGAAGAGGAGAGCTGGAGTGGGGTGGGGTAGGAGGGGACACGGGAGGTAACCTACAGACTCGGAGGGGGAGGGCTGGTGGGGAGTGCGGGATGCCCTGAGTGTAGGCCAGGGCACTTGTCCCTTCAGGACCCGCATGAAGAGTGGAGAGGGCCTTCCTGCAGAAGGGGAGAAGGCCAGAGATGGTGGTGGGGATGTGGACCCCAGCCAGGAGGCTCCCCGAGCACCGCTGCCCACCAGCCCGAGGATCACTAGGGGACAGAGGAGCCCCTGGGCAGGGGTTCATGTCAGCTACCAGCAAGGGGGTACAGAGGAGAGGGGGTTAGGGCGAGCTGGGGTCTCTGGCCCCAGATCTGCTGCTTCTCTGCAGCCTTACTCCCCTCCCCCCAGGCCTCCTACTTCAGCAGATGAAGTCAGACCCCTGGGAAAGGCAGGGAGGGCCCGGGCCCCTGCATACAGACAGGCAGAGAGCCGTAGGTGCTCCTAGCTCTGTCTGCTAAGAAGGCTGAACGACAGGACAGACGGTAGGAATGAGCACACCCAGCACCAGACCTTGATTTCTACAGGGGATCCGGGATTTCTGGAAAATTTGGGGGCGGGGGTGTGGGGGGAGTAGAGCCCCTTCTCTGTGTCTGCAGGCGGGAAGGGCAACCCTGGCCCAAGCTTCAAGGCAATTTAGGAGCCGACCGTAAGAGCTCTAGGAACCACTTCGCAGGTGGAATGAGAAAGATGGGGGCCAGGCAGGGCAGAGGGCAAGGCAGCACCTGAGCAACGCCAGGCAACTCGGTCCTGGGACCCAACAGAGTGGTTCCCATCTGGCTCGCGTGCCCAGAGGGCCAGGTCAGCCGCGCAGAGCCGAACCAACGGTCCTTCCCCCAGATTGGAAGTTTCTCGTGGTAGGCCCACAGAGCCGGCGCAGAGCTGGCGGCTGGTTAGGCTGCCCTCGTCTGCGGACGTGTCTTCGTACTCAGGTGCTAGACGTCACGAACCAGGACACAGGCCGGGGTGGGGTGTACGCCGCAGTCTGGGCAGCAGGAGCCACTTCACGCTGACTGGCGGAAGGAGGCAGAGAGCTGGACGCAGCGCGCATCGCACTCCCGTCCGGCCGCCGCACAGGCCCGCGTTAAAATCTGTCGACCTCTGTTGGGTGTGGGCTGCACCCAGGAGCCGCGCTGGTCCGCGGGGTCTGCGGGTTCTCCTTGAGGCTTTTTAGGGGAGGGCGGGCAGGGGGGCTTCTAGGGCGGGACCAGGGTCCCTTCCGCTTTCCTTTTGGTTCTCTCCAACCGCCGCAGAGACTCCGCGCGAGTGAGCGGAGGGCGGTTTCCCGGGTGGCTCCGCCAGCGTCCGCACCCCCAAGCTCGCGGGGCACAGCGCCTTCCCGGCCTCGCGCTCAAGCTGTGCCACGTGGCCTTGACCCCTGCGACTCCTCCGCAGCTCCCGCGGACTAACGCACGGATCGACTCTCACGCTGGAAGCCAGTGAGTCGTCGGAGACTCACGCTGCCGAGGAGCCTCGTGCGCCATGCCATCGCCACCCGACTGGCCCCCAACTCCCTGCGCCCTACGACCCTCGCCCTTCCCGCACCCTGTGCTACACGCTCTCCACCGCCTGACCCGCGCGCTGCTTTTCCCGGCCTACTGGGCCCTGGACCAGCTGCTGGGCTGCTGGGCGCCGGCCGAGAGCCGGAGCGAGCAGAGCTGGTTGAGAACCGCCGCAGGCGCCGGGAGCGCGCTGCTGCTGCTATTCGTGGCCGTGCCCCTGACTCTCCCGGCGCTGCTGCTCTGGCTGCTGCTGCAGGCCTGGCGCCGCCCCTTCTGCTACCAGCCCCCTCCGCGGTGCTGGGCGCCCCCTGCGCCCTGGTGCCCCCGCACTGAGCCCGCGCGCAGCTTCGGCTTCTTCAGCGCAAACCTGTGCCTGCTCCCTGATGGGCTGGCGCGCTTCAACAACTTGCCGCACACGCAGAGGCGGGCCGCGGCCATTGGCGCCGTGCTGCTCGCCGGCCTGCGGCGTTCGCCCTATGGGGCTACGGGCTACGGTTCGCCAGTGCAGGCGATGCCGTGCGGGGTGCTGACAGACGCCATGCCAGCGAGTCTGGACTTCGTGTGCCTGCAGGAGGCGTTCGATCTTCGCGCAGAGCGACGCCTGGTGAGCCTCCTGGCACCTAATCTGGGCCCGGTGTTGTATGACGTGGGCACATTTGGCCTGCAGCACGGCCTACACCTCAAGTTGCTGGGCAGTGGGCTGCTGCTGGCCTCGCGCTATCCGCTGCTGCGTGCTGCCTTCCAGTCCTTCCCCCAAGCACGCGGCGAGGATGCTCTGGCCTCCAAGGGACTACTTTCCGCGCAGGTACCTGTTCCCTGGCCATGGCGCTACCAGCCCAGGGAGGGGCGGGGCATGGAGTGGAACTAGCAAAGGAGCGCCAAGGTCCGTGGTGTTGCAGGCGCAGCTGGGCATCCTGGACGGGCGCCGCGTCGTGGGCTTCCTGCACTGTACACACTTGCACGCACCCAGCGGTGAGCCCTGTTGGGTTCGTAAGCAGGCGGCCCTCTGCGTGGCGGTGGCGGCGAGTCCCAACCCTGGCCAACACCTCCCCTCCTGGCAGTTTATTCAGTGCCCCAGCCGCTGCGAATCCCTAGGTGGGCTAGCAGATCAGGAATGGGGTGGGGCGGGGGGCGAAGCTGGGTGTCCAGGATGCGGACACTGGCTCCTCCGCCCCGCCGCGCAGAGGACGGGCTCCTGCGCTGCAAACAGCTGACAGTGCTCCTGGACTGGGCCGAGCAGTTCGAGGCGGAGAGCTGCCAGAGTGACGAGGCCGTGGCCTTCAGCGTGCTCCTGGGTGACCTCAACTTCGACAACTGCTCGCTAGGTAAAACGGCCTGCCCCGCCCCCCCCCAACCCCGCGCGAGTGCATACATACACACCCCGAGTGTTGCCTTTCCACAGACCACCAGCAGGAGCAGGAACACCAGTTTTTCAGCTGTTTCCGGGACCCCTGCCGGCTGGGCACGCGCCGGGAGCAGCCCTGGGCCTTGGGTACACCGGTTTGGGGCACCCGGATGGGGGCAGGTGGACCTCAAGAGGGCTCTGCGGAGGCGCCCGCTGATACCGTCCTTCCCCGCCCACCCCAGGGACGTTGCTGAGACACTCCGAGCTCCGCCGCTCCGTGGCCTGCTCGCCAGAGATGCTGCGTAGGTGAGTGGCTACCTGGGGGTCAGACAAGGGCAGGAAGGAGGGCTGCCCTGACCCTGGTGACACGGCCCCTCCTCAGGGCCCTGGAGCAGAAGAAGGGGCGCCGCCGCTATCTGGCAGGCCCTCCCCGGGGAGGCCCCCCAGCTGAGTCCTGGCGGGGCCGGCGCCTGGACTACATTACCTACCGCAGCGCGCCTGGAGGCTTTCTGAGCCCGGTAGGTGCCAGAGCTCAGGGTGCAGGCCTGCCGCGCTGGGGCGACTCTCCAACCTGCCTCCCGCCCTCCAGGAAGTGGAGCAGGTGACATTCAGCACTGCTCTGGCCGGGCTCACAGACCATCTGGCCGTGGGACTTCGGCTCCGAGTGTCCACGTCCTTCTAAGGCCAGCTCACAGGAGACAGGTGCCAGAACGGGTGGAAAGACGGACGATGACACAGACGTGAGCCCGGCCAGTCGCCAGAGGAAAAGGCGACTTCAGGGATCTTTATTGTGGGGGCCCTCCTTCACACAGCCTCCTGGGCCCTGCGATATTCATACACGCTGCCCCGCTCAGGGAAGACTAGGGGCTGCAACGGTGAACCTGGCAGTGGGGTGGGGTCCTCCGGGTCCCCGTAGCCCCCACCGCCTGGTGTGTGGAGACAGAACACGTCCTGTGGAGCAGAGGGGCAAGATCAGCCTGGGCCTGGCACTGCCCTGCCTCCCGCTGCCAGCCCATCCCCACCGGGCAGCGCATCCATATCGGTCAGCTTGGACCGCGGAGCCCAGGTCCTCGGCCCCCTATTCTTGCGGGAGCCAAATTAAACTGGGTCTCCGCTTATCTCCGCAATTCCATTCATCCTTTGTGGTCTGAGGGCCACTGGGGGTGGGGGGTGGGGAGTGGGGATGGGACAGGCCAGGCCGGAGTCCCTACCCCGGGGTACACGGGCACCGAGGTCTTCCCACCCAGGTTCACTGTCCGGCCGTCCTTCCGGATGAGTAGGTTTAGGCCCCGGGCACCAGGCTCACCCCCTGCAGGAAGAAGCAAGGTGGGAGTGGCCCAGGAGGCAAGGAAGTGAGACATGGGGTGGGGGGGGTAGGGGGTGTTAGTGGGGAAATAGGATAGATAGGACAGGAGGTGGGTGGGAAACAGACCCCCTCCCCCGCGGCGACGGGGAGCTGGGGGGGAGGAGGGAGAGGGAACCACTTACCCATCAGGCCATAAGGCTGGAAGGCGCGGCG